TTTACCAGAAAATCTGACTTGCCAGTTTTATTTTATTGTTTGACACCAAAATTGGAAAAAATGTAAAAGTAATTAATTTGACAATTTTGAAATGAAATTTTGCACAGTCCACGGTCGAAAATAAAGTATTATAGGTCTACGACAAATTGTTTAATTATAAATACTAATTCATTTTTTTTCAATTGCAATTCAAGTTTGTTTTCGCAAATAACTAGATTTGCTAATTTTATGTTTTCTCGACGTTTCAAATCATTCTGAATCGAATGAGACATTTAAGGAAAAAGTATGTGTGACCGGCTTTTGACCTTTCGTCGACGTTTTCTCAAAAACGGCTGAACCGATTTCAAAAATTTAAAAACCATTCGATGTATCTCGATAAGGATTAGAGTTTATCAGATTTGTGCGACGATCGGCCGAGCCGTTTCTTTGTAATTAGGAAAAAAGCGTACATTTTTTCGTTTTTTTTTTGCCCACAATTTTCAACCGATTTTCAAAAATTGAAAAACTGTTTGAAAGATATAGGTATACAAATTAATTTAATTTATTACAATTAAAGTGTGTTTGAAAAATATTATTTGAACATTGCATTGATCAATTTTACTAAAAGCAAATGAAATTTTATCTTCAAATAACCATATGAACATTCTACCTATAAAGCTTAACTCTTTCAACTCAGACGCCGTCACTCCAGCGGCAAAGTTGATGAAAATCTCGGAATTTGCGAATGGAAAGGGTTTATATAAATTTTTATGAATTGAGTTAATATTATGTATTTTTAAGGCAACTTGCCTTGAGGCAAAATGCCACTTACAACTAGTTGAAAAAACGTGCAGCATCCTTAGGTCCTACATCTAGTCGCGCATATCCTAAGCACCTATTCATACATTATTTTATTATTTTTATTTTTTATACATATCGAGATGTTTATGCAACTTGCCTTAAGGCAAAACGTCACTTATTCCTAGTTTATAATTAACAAAAAATATCTTTTGAAAATACTTTCTTAAAATCTCCCTTAGAAATACCTCTTAAAAATATCCTTTAAAAATATTCCTCAAAATATCTCTCAGAAATATCCCGTCGAAATATTTCTTAAAAATATTCTTTAAAAATATTACTGAAAAACATTCTTTAAAAATATTCCTTAAAAATATCTCTTAAAATATCCCTCCAAATATCCTTTAGAAATATCCTTCAAAAATATCCCTAAAAATATCTCTCGAAAATAATCCTCTGGCAACACTTTTGCAAGAACCTCATGCTCGTCCTTGTGCAAGCTGTCATACATAACCAAAATGTCCGCATGGCGTCGTTTTAACAAAACAGTGAGAATAAAAAGTGCGATTTTGTGTGAAATATAAAGCATCATTCAGAAATAATATGAAATTTATAATGTTTAATATGTGTAGAATATATTTTGATATAAGTTTAATGCGGATGTTAATTTTGAAGTGTTAATTCGTATTCGAAACTTTGACAGGTTTCGATTGTATCGTTAACAGAACATTGGGACTTGAAACATGTTTTAGATTATTTGAATTGGTTTGTACATTGTATTTAAATTGTTTTTAAGTTTTATTAAATGTTTTTCTATACATTTCGGAACAATTTCAAAGTTTATAGTGTTTTTGTAATTAAAACAAACATTTAGTGTTAGATGATTCAACGCAGAGACAGAAAATGGAGGTTAGTAACAAAATTTATATATTTTATATCCTTATTATTTTTTGTTGTGTGTGGTCTTTCATTATATTATGTCGAATGAATATTTTGACATAAATATTGTCACTTATAAATGTGTCACTTAAGAATTTAGCTAGAAATTTATATTAATTAATAATGTCGATCATGGTTTTGTAAGATTTGTTTTCCAACAAGAATATGTACAATTATTATTTAACAAAATAGAAGTCATAGTTTATGAGGAACTTCTCCTCAAAAACATTGGAAACCAAGTAGTTAATTTTTAGCTTTTTAAATTATAAGATTAGTGGTGCATAGCACCGTGCCTTAAGGCAAATTGCTGGAACTTTTCGTACAAAAGATTTAATTTTTTTTGAAAACATTGCAAAAAAAATAGATTTTTTTTCGAATCATGAAGTTCTTGAAAAAAATTTACTCTTGCAAAATTCGAATTTTTTATATTTAGAAATTTTGATTTTTTTTAAAAGCAATACGGAACTCATAGAAATGTAAACAAAATTTATACTTATTATTAAAATCTTTATAAAATATCTGATAATTTTAATTGCATATGTCTAATGATCATTTTTGTGCGCCAGATGGCATTTTTTTTTACTATTCGCATTGGATCTCCAAAGCCGCTGGACCTGTCTTTTGAAAAACTTGATCATTTCGTCAATATAAATAAAAACATTTTTTGAATCATTCAAATCGGACGATCCTTGGTTATCGGTTTTCCTTGTTAACAAAAAAAGGTACTATATATGTATACAAAATTATATTGATCGCCATATGGATTAACACTCGTATCATAAAAAATGTTTTGAGTCTATCTCAAATCTTTTTTAATGCTAATCGCTCTTGTTCTGTTTACTTAAATTTATGGGTCAATTCTGCCGTAACAGAGCCCATAAAGTAGCGTTGTCATGGCAACGCTGTCTTATGCTTGTTTTTGGTAGTAAAAATTATGAAAATATCTATCTATTTCCCGTGCGATCAGGCGTATTTTACATATAAACAAAGCAAGGTAGAATGTTGTGATAACAGAATTCTAGATGGTATCATAGCATTCTTTTTTACTTGTTTATAAGTAAAATACGCCTGATCGCACAACAAATAGATAGACATTTTCATGATTTTTACTACCAAGAACACGAAGCATAAGAGAGCGTCGTCATAACAACGCTATTTTATGAGCTCTGTTACGGCAGAATTGCCTCATTAATATCTGTATTTATTCAACTACTTACTCTTCAGTGTTCATATCGGCTTTGACTTTAAAATCTCTGGGTTTCCTAAAATCGCATTCGACGGTGAAAGCCGCGTCTCCTGGTGTCACCAGGTCCGGATCGTGCTGGACGACCACGACGTTCGAATAAACTTCGCCATCCTAAAATGGATATAAATAGAATCAAATAAAAAATAGAATTAAGAGAAATTCATAAATATATCTGTTGTGTATTGTATTTTTTATCTTCTTACCCTGTTAGTTTGACAATCGTCTAAAGGAAAAGTCATGGACAAGGCCCTCGAGCCTTTGCCTCGACCAAAACAGGGACCCCTTTGTGTATGGAAACTTCCACGTGTGTACATTACACCTGTGAAATTTTCTTCAGTCTCTAATTTAACCTGGAAATAAAACAAATTTAATATTAGTTGTAAAAAACTCATATTTGAAACTTTTTAACGCCATTGACTGCCAAGGAGTTCAACTTTTTAATTTAATTCAAGTAAATAATTCAATAAATTAAAATGGAAATTATTGTGAAGATTCTTCGAATGCCCATAATCCCGACAGATACTGCATTTTAATTTAAAATATGTATTGCAATTCCTATTTTAACGCCATTGACGACTTTTTAATTCAATACAAGTACGTATTAAAAATTTAAGTGATCGTCAGTTTCAATTTTTTTTTAATTTCAAAGTTTCTGAATCGATATCTAATTTAGTTGAGAAATGTAACAATCGTAACTAATAATAATAATTAACAGCATGTAAGAAATAGTTGATACAACTTTTATTCGACCGTTCCCATTTTTTTTATTTTTTTTTTTATTTCCCGTATTTTTTGTTTAGTCTCTTGTTAGCCAAAAAGTGGAAAATCAAATTTAATATAAATTTTAAGTATACTCACGTGCATTGTGTTGGGGCCACATTTCAGATGCACTTTTTGCAATCCCTCTGTACTGGGTTCTATTAAATCCATGGATTCGCTTAAATCTTCTTTCCATAATTCTGAAATTATATACATTGATACTTTACATGTTATATAAATACTATTACACTATTACGCGGTGCATGTGTTCCGTGTAATACGGCAACCGCGCTATAAGAAACTCGGTTTGAACCGAGATAAATGCGACAAATGAGAGTTATAAATTGTTTTTGTTGAACTGAAAAGTATATCAAAAGATGGGAAAAATTATATTTTACTGACTTCAACAAACATTACTTGTATCAGTTATATCATGGCCAATTTCATAGCCATTCATACACATATACCTAACTGACTTCCACTAAAAACCGATACATTCAAATATTACTAACCTAACCCCTTTTAAATTTGAATGCTATATCTGTCGTGATTTTGGGCATTCGAGGAATCTTCACAATAATTTCCATTTTAATTTAATGAATTTTCTTAAAGCAAAACATTCGAGTCAAACATTTTATTTAAAGAATTAAAAGATCCCTGATTAATAAATGTAATCATACAAGTTGAACTTGTAAGATATAAAATCAGTAGAAGTTTGTAGTAATAGACTTAGGGACCGATTCTATCGCGTAACAGACAAATGTTATGGCAAGGCCATGTTATGAAGAACTTTCCATAGTAAATTTGACAAAAGCTATGTGGTTGCTGTGCAATCAGGCGTCGGATAGAAAATCTAACCCAAAAACCGCACAAATGTTTAAAAAAACTATCATTGATAACAGGGTCTTTATGACTCAGCTTCATAACATACGAGTGACGTTCCAGTTTATGTGTAAAACGCCTGAATGCACAGCAAATGCATGGCATTTTGACAATATTCAGTATGATTCAGTAGCATAATGTATGCAAGTTGGAGCGTAACGTGGCCTTGCCATAACATTTGTATGTTGTGTGGCAAAATCAGCCCATTAATAGCAGTATATAAATAATTTTCATTGAATTGAAGAGTTTATTATAAATGAACCCTCTAGACTACTTTCTAGCAATTTTTTTTCAACAGCAGATTTTTTTTTAAAGAGACAAATATTTTCATATTTCCGCCTTATAGAAGGACTGCTGTGATATAAAAGTAATAAGTGATAATTATAACTTTATTACAGATGATGAGTAGGAGTCAATCACAGGAGTAATATAATATCCAATTTATTATCCGACGTCTCATATTCTTAATTGCACGCTTTTAAGTCGAGTTCATTATAATTAGGAAATTTATTTTCACTTTTATGAGTTTTCTCGGGAAATTTATAGGAAATTGTACTGAAATTACTCGCGGAATAACACAGGAGTGGTTATGGTTATCTAACTCTGATTTTGAATGAATCTTACAATATTATAGACTTATGTATAATAATTTTATCGCTCGAATCAATGGACCGATTCTGCCGCATAACAGAAAAATGTTATGGCAAGGCCATGTTACGTTTTAACTTCCTTACATTATGCTACTGAGTCATATCGAATACTGTCAAATTGTCATGTGTTTGCTGTGTCACTCGTATGTTATGAAGCTGGGTCAGAAAGACCATGTTATCTAACTATGATGCGGTTTTTAGGTTACGTTTTCTGTCTGACAACCTGAGAAAATCGCCTGACTGCACAGCAACCACTTGACTTTATATTTAGTATGGAAAGTTCTTCATAACATGACCTTGCCATAACATTTTTCTGTTATGCGGCAGAATCGGTTCCTAAGTCTATTCCTAAATTCTCCAACTATTTCTACAAACTTGTACTTAATATATATCTTAGTCTTACAAGTTCATCTTATAATTCTTTAAATTAAATGTTTGACCTAAATCTTTTGCTTTAAGATAATTTAATAAATTAAAAAGAAAATTATTGTGAAGATGTCCTCATTCTTCGAATGCCCATAATTCCGACAGATACAGCATTTTAATTTAAAATTTTGCAATTCCTATTTGGATTAGAATTTGCAATCATGATCGATGAAGCTTAAGGTCAACTTTTAGATTTGTGTATTTAGATTTAGATACGGATTGCTTTTTGTACGGTAAACAAAAAACTATTATGTGTCTAAAAATATGGCAAATTCAAACTTTTGCTTAATTTAACATAAAACTGGTAGATTTACCTTCTTCACATGCTCAGCCTTGCTATTTCCATTCATTACGTGAGGATTAATAGACTAATTTAGAGGGAGAGGTGTTTGTCAAAAAATCACCAAATTTTACTTGGGGGTGGGAGTAATTTAAAAAAAAAATCAAAACATTTTCAAAAAAAAAAATCGAAAATTTTACACTTTTCTTATGATGTTCGGTGTGAGGGGGTAATTTTGAATATCATCACGTATTATCAAGGGGCAGGGGGGACAAAAATCCTTAAAAAATCGATCACGTGATCATTGGACGCCTCCTCATTGCGAATTCCAATTAATCGAATACTTATTGCGTTTTGATTTTGCTTGAACAAATCAGATAACATAAATGTATAGTAATAATATGTAATTTTAACATTTATATTTTCACAAATCATTCAATATCAATTATAATATATATATATATATATATATATATATATATATATATATATATTACAATATTTACAGTTAGTATTACTTTAGTTAGTAGTATTAGTTTAGTTATATATTACAATCAATTTACATTAGGGGAAGAAATTTTGAAGGATTTTTGATAAGAGACTAGATGGTCTGGTAAACTTTTAATTACTTGTACATGTTTCTTTAGATCTTGTAATTATTGATATTTTTACTGGTGTGTGTTCCAAAGTTGTTATTTATGCTATCAGCCGAATATTTTTATTAAATTGTGTCTAAAATTACGCTTTTACAAAAAAAAAAAAAATTAAAAATGTAAAGTTTCTACATGGTTTTGATGTAATTCTTCACCTTTTCCTCAATCTCTGGATTAGCATTTGATAGTTTAAGATTAAAAGTGGCCAAATCGGTTCAGCCGTTATCGGTTACATAATATCGGGCCCGATTTTTATATACAAGAAGATATATATATATATATATATATATATATATATATTATCTGTACGTGTCTGTTTTCTGTTTAAACCTAATGCAAGAATGGATGTTTTCGTTAATTACTTAATGTCTAGGGGTTTAAAGGAGAAACTAAATTCTTAATGAACAGTACCACCAACACCGCCCTCGCCCTTATATTTGCTGCTTAGCTGCTTAAATACATCCTTATCTATTATACAACCTTGAAAAGGCCGCCAAATGCGAATTATTCGCATTTGGCATACACAATGACAGGGGAGATGAACCTAAAGAGATTCAATATTGTCAAGCTGAAAATTTAACCAAAATCTATCCCTGTTTTGAATCAACTTCTTATGGTGTTAGTAAGACAATTTTAGTTAATAATATTCTCTAATGAGGCAATTCTGCCGTAACAGAATTGTCGTGACAACGCTATTTTAATGTTTACTAGCTGACCCGGCAAACGTTGTTTTGCTAAGTAAGGTATATTCTAAACAATTTCTAGAGAAACAAAAATATTAATACTTTAAGTGTATAAGTATGTGTTATTTAAATGCTATATACAATGAGATATTATAAGACAATAAAGCCCATTAGTTTGTCTATATTTTGTCAATACAATCAAACTGGAAGATTTATACACTTTCTATAGAAAACATGGTATAATCCAATTCAAGTCATTTTTAGTCTTTCGACTTATTGATTACGTTTCAAGTTTTTCAGATTCTTTTTTGATTCAGGATTTTGTATATAATTGTAAATAATACTAGTGACCTTATACAAAAATTTCAAATTTCTGCGAGGAGAGATAGAAAATGAATTAAACATTCCTTCTTTGACTTGCTTTTTGGAAAGTTTCAAGTAACATTCGATGAATTAAAGTAAATTTAACCAAAAGTATATATGTAGAGCAGGGCGAGACACAAAGGTCCAATTTGACTTGAGCAAATATAAACTATATTGAGAAAATCATAACATTATATCACAACAAATAACACATATCAAACGAACAATTATCTGAGTTCAGTAAACTGCCTTCTACTTCATCATTGTAGAAATTGTTTTTTTAATGTCTTTCAAAAATTTGTTATCTAGACCTTTTTATCCTATATGCGGGGTAACTTGTAACGGGCAGGTGGCAAAAAGTTTAAAGCCTTATTATAATTTTAAAGGTATTTTACAAAATAATTACATTTTTAACTAATGCTAAAACTACCAACGGAAGAAAATACTTTTATTATGGATTTTCAAAGATTACCGTTTATCTCCCCCATTTCAAAGATTATCGTTTTCAAATCAAGTTTGTAGCTGGCTATACATATTTTTTCCTCTACTTTCAAATATTGTTGTTAAACAATGCTTAACTTTACTGATTTTTGGCACATCGGTGGTGGACCTTTTCAATCCCGGACCTTCATATATTACTATCTATTCTGCGATAAATTCTGGGAAATTATAACTGGAAAAATGTTATTCGACAAATTAGGTTCTGAATTCAAATAAGATAAATAAAAAATAATATAACCTAGAAAATGTTTTATAAATAGCAATGAGTATATAATTATACAAATGAGATCTTACAGAGCACCGTGTTTGAGAAAAATATGCAAAAAGTGCATTTTCATATTAACATTTCAAAAAAGTTTATATTTTGAGTCTCTAGTAACACTTGCGGCCCGTTTACTAACGTTTTTGTATATAAATAAAGCTACAAACAAAACTACTTACTACAAATTTATCATAAATAAATAATATTTGCGTAAAACATCCTATTAAACGTAATTGAACATCATCTGTCAAAAGCGTTTGACATTTCACGAAATTGCCATCCGCCCATTGTTTTATTTAAATTACGCTTCTACAAAAATTTTCAAATTAAAAATGTGAAGTTTCTACGCGGATTTGAAATAATTTCTCACCTTTTGGACTTTCTCTGGATTGGCACGAATTTTTCAAGACTAAGACTGGCCAAATCGATTCATCCGTTTTCGAGTTTTATTCGGACATTTGAAAGAGAGCTCCATTTTTATATATAAGAAGATTAGTAGCAAAATTGTGAAAATGTGCAATCAGGCGAATTTTATTTATAAACAAAGCAAGGGAGGATGTTATGATAACAGAATTCTAGATAGTGCAGTTATAGCAAGATTCTTCCTTGCTATTTTTTATAATTTTTGTTATACTGATTTTTTCAAGTGCGATTTTTCTACGACACTTGCAGATGAACATTAAACTAGTGGTGCATGAAATCGTGCCTTTTAAGGCAAATTCTTGGAACTACCCGTACAAAAAATTATTTTTTAAAAAAAAAC